TAACACATTATCCCCCTATAACAGGAAGTGTCTGCACAATACGAAGTGTTCAGGTTATGATCTTCTGGATAGTATTCCAACAGAAAATAGTATCCTTGTAATTTATGAACAAAAGAGAAAACTGTCATCAAACAACAAAAACAAAAAAATTCACAGCAACATCATAAATACACTGTCCAACAAGCTACCTCTTTGTAAATCAAACTGCTCCTGAACAGAAATAGTTTTTTGTTTTTAGGCCAATTAAATAATCTTTCTTTTGAGTCCAAAATTTATTTGACAATTGAAAGTCTATTTACACAAAACTTTTAAATTAGTTGGTTAGAGAACTACAGAAAGTGTAAGTTGTCATGAAGTAAACATATCTTCTGCAGTTCAGGGTTATTTGGAAATAACATGTAAAGAGATCAGGATTTAAAGCACTAGTTGGTAGAAAGATTATTCATCTTTAACAGAAGAATACGAGCATAAGCTGTAAGAGCCTCAAAAGTTTTGTTAAGGCCTTATTCAGTTGTTGAGGCAACCAACCTTACAGTCTTTATCTTTGTGTTGTATTTCAGGCTTGTATTAGCAAAATACTTTAATCTTCTGATTCCCTACTATCACTTTTTTATGAGAAAAACAACTCTCTTTTTTATGCCCCATGTGTTTGCCCTTGATAACCCCAGCAATGCACCACTTAGAATTTTGTCTTCTGAGGAGCTCTTCTTACCTCTCTTCTTGGCTTCCAACTGTCATGATGACACAATCACACAGATGCTCTTGTGAGCATTAAGAAGGTCCAACTGACTGTGATGTACCAACAGAGCAACTTTATGGTCAATTTCATGCAATGCAGCAGTTTTTTTTCCAACCAAACCCTTTGTATTCTCCTCTAAGTAGAGAACACAGAGACAGAAAGGTTCTGCACATCTACCAGCAACAGTAAGAGACCAAGATATCTTAGGGGTCATTCACACAAGTGGTCAGAGGGCAGTATAAATAGGTGGTTGAGCTGCAGTTTTACTGTCCCTTGACAGTCCCCCCCATGGTGCCTTTTCCATGCAATATCAGCAGTGAACATGATTCATTCAAGTGAATGGGACTGCACTGCAACTGCCTTGCAACCATATGCAAGGTACATGGTTATGATGCGGTGGTGTGGGCTTCTCAGGGTTAAAACGAGCAATGAGCTGCCGGTTAATAATCCTCTGAAAAGCACCTCTGATTTGCTGGGGATTATTTTTCAGAGTGGCAGCAAGAATTGCCACAAATGTTGATGGGCCTTTTACACTTATAAACACCAATGCGTTTGCAACTGTTGATAATTCAGAAGAATAACATCAGTGTGTTTACAGATTTCCTTTTTTGTGTCTTCATCAGGCCATAGATGGTTTGAATCTCTGCCAATTCAGTAGGGACCAGCCAAGAGTCAAACCATCTATGGGCAGGCTGATTGTATCAAATTCAATTGTTGTTGTATGACTTGGTTGCGACCAGGCTGTCATATTTTTCATATGATTATTGCTAGTGGCTATAGTGACTAGCAATACTCACTGCTTCCCCTGCTCTTTCCCCATTCCCCACCAGGAGAACACAATAGCTCCACGGAAGGGATTTCCCCATTAACACTGATTGTGTTGTTGGGGAATCTAGCAGTTTTCCTTCCTACAACCCATGGTTGCAGAAATGAAAATCGATTGTCTATGGCCATGTTAGGGCACCAATACCAATACAATACTCGTTCTTGTGCAACTAATGCTCATTACCATGTAGCTAATGCTTGTGCACATGTACCAGCACTCAGCTTAGCTCAGGCTAGTATCCAGCATACACTGACATGTTAGTACATCTGTGAGTGCCAGTGGATCGGCTCGCACGTCTGCACGCATTGGTGCCAGGCTGCCTAATTAAAGGAGACCCTAGTGTGTGCTAATTGCTGGATATTCTTCAGCTTCCCCATAACCTGTGTTCCTGCTTTTTCTGACTGATCTCCCATTGCTGACCTGGCTAGTTCCTGACCTTGCTCTGTGGAATTTGGATACTGGCCTTGGCTTGCCTCTGACTACTCTCTGCCTGCTTCCCTGGTACTGACCTCAGCCTGATGACGCTTCTCACTCACTATGTATGACCCTGGCTCATCCTGACTCTGTTCCTGACAGTCACCTGATACCAAGCTACAGGAACCTGTGCTTCTTTGAGCCCTGCACCTCTGTCACCATATTCAAGGGTACTCAGACCAAAGTCTCAAGGGGAGCCCTTCTCTCCATTTCAGCCTCCAGCCAAGGTATGTGACAGACTGGCTTTACCAAAATTTGGTCTAAAAGACTTTCTTGGAGTTGCTTCACAACTATCTCTGTTGATTCAGTATCACCTTCCTGATCTTGTTTTATTGCAGATATATACTGCAAATCAACAATTGGTCCAATGCTTGCCTGTGAAAGCTGTCTCCCAGTTCTAATTAAAGGGATAATAACTTTACAAGGTGGAAATTGTTTTAACAGTCAAAGATGCAGTTTATCGATCCTCCCTTCTCCATCTTCTTGTTGAATATCACAGACATTCACTGGTTCATAAACACAGATGGAGTTCATTCCTAAGGAGTTTTTAATCTCACTTGTTGATGTATTTCTGTACTTCTTACACCTTTTCCCAAATAGTCTGTTCTATAGGTGAACGCCTTTTTATTAATTCCTGTATTTCCTTGAAACACTTTTGTACTCCCTGAATTCATGTCTATATAGTGTTAACCTCCCTTACTTCAGTATTTGGATGTTGCAAATCCATCCACCTTTTGTCTGCCAAAAAACACATAACAGGGGTGAGTACAGTAGCAGTATGTGATTGTAAGCAGTAGTAGGATTGTAAGTGCATACTAAGTTTAGTTAACTTAATGTCCACTTCCTTTTTTCATCTTCCAAAGTTCACAGCAATTAAATCAATATGCAATCAGATTGCTTCCAGGCCCCATTTCCTTGAGTTCGGTGAGAGGATTTATATACTTCATATAACTTACATGACTACTGTATAAGATGAATCTCAAAGAATTGGCCTTGAGGTGAGTGTATCCTTTGTGGACAACCATACTCCAGAAAGTGTACAACAACAGCAAACCTTAAAATAGATCAACAATAGTCATAACATGACTTTGTTAATTGTGATATTTGGGGTTGTTTAGCTCAGTGGTGCAACATTTTTAGTGAGTCCTTGCCAGTCCAAACTATGATTTAAGGGCTTGTTGGTCCACTTTTATCACACAAACTCAAAGTTCACAAAACAGGTGCCATTGCAGGTGATTTTCACCATCAAGAAACAGGTAAAGAAAATACCGAGCCACTGCTGCTTAGGCCATAACCTTGGCTCTCGGCTGGTCCCTCCGGCTGTCCTACACAGTACCAACTCTGTGTTGCATTCAGCTTTCCCAGCCTTCCTGGCTTTTTTAACCTTTTCAGTTGCAACACCCTGTTCTACTGGCCCACTTCCAGGCCTTTTGATAGGGGTTCTCCTTACACCCAGGGTTCTCTCACCATCTGAGGTCTCCAGATTCTTTCAGTCTCCTGAACTCACCAGCTCTCTCAGTCTCCCAGACTCACTTAGCTGACTTGAATTTCCAAGTCCTATGGACGAGGAATCTCTCCTGCTGCATGGAGTGCTGTTTCTTGAGTGGAGCACACCTGTCTCCTAATGGGAGTTCTGAACTATGCTCAAGTCCTTTATTTTAAGGACTGTGTGCCCCTGCACTCACTATCTGCCAGTCTCCTGCAAGACCTGAACACTGGGTTGGAAATTTCTACCGTCTCAAAACTCTTCAAAATTTTCAAACTCCAGAACCCAATCTGGAAATACCAAAATCTGGAGAAAACAAAAAAACAGTTTTCTCAACTCACAATCGATATTCTGAAGCCCCACACTCTGCATTGGTGTGAACCCTGTGCCACTTTTACCTCCATTTTCATAATGGCAGGGCCTTGCACTGTCACGCTATCTTCTGACATGTCTAATGTAAAGAAGTCCACAGCTAACACTTTCAGAGTAGTGGAAGCCTTCAGAGCAAAGAATTTTACCACTGTCTGTAAACCTGTAGATGCACCACAAACTGTACACGGTTGACAACACTGTTCTACAAGTGATGGCAAGCTCAATGTTGCTGCAACAGAAGGAGGAAGAGGACACTGCAAGTTTGTGTAGTTTGGATGTGAAGGCATTGGGGGATCACCCACATTCTGGAGCATGGGGAAAAAGATAAGTATAACAGCTGTCATGGAACCTGCAGATTTCTGTATGTGCATTTCTTTCCTTGCTGCAATGTTTCTGCTAGATCTGTGATTTCATTCACATATGCTGCTGGCTTCTCTGTTCACCTATGGGCATCACCTGCACTAATGTGAAGTTACATCCTTTTCCTTCTTCCTAGGTCGCCTCCCAGTTTGTTTCCGTATATATGCACACATGCTCAGTGCAGTCCACCTTGTCTAAGCAACTTCACAGTTTTCTCAGCTGCTGTTTTCTTACTACTACATGTATTCTGTGTCTGACTTCCTGTTTACCGACCCCAGCTTCATCTTCTGTTTGTACTTGTCTGACGCCTGGCCTGACCTCAGCTTTTTTCCTGGATCCTCTTCTGTCTCCTGCAATCTGTACTCTATACACACAAGTGGTGTCCGTATCGATAGCTGGGTATACCTGGTGGCTGTAACCAGTTTCCAGCTTGCTGCAAATCCATCAAGGGTCCTGGTGAAGAAGCCCTGGGTTGGGGTTTTACAAGGGCTCACTATCACATAAACCTGACACCAGCATATTCATCATCCCCTAGGCTAAATGAATATTTAACCCTTTCAATATTTGTGTGTGTGTGTGTGGTGTATTTGTTTTTATTCTGCTTTAAATGCTTGTTTAACCACCTTCCGCCCACCCTATAGTACAATAACGGGCGCAAGGTGATTCTCTCGTTCTGATAGGACGTCATATGACGTCCTACCATTCTCACTGTGCATGCGCGGCTCAGGGAGCGCGCAGCACGCGATCGCCGGTGCGCTGTGTCCTTCGGACACAGCGGATCACGGAAAGAGCCGAAGATGTCGACTCGGTCATGTGATCAGCTGTGTCCAATCACATGAGAGGAGAGAAGAGCTGGTAATCGGCTTTCCGCGGAGGGGACATGTACACTGATCATCAGGGCACTGATGATCAGTGTGCCCTGATGATCAGTGTGGCCTCAGAAGTGCCACCTGTCAGTGCTCATCAGTGCCACATGCCAGCACCCATCAGTGCCACGTGCCAGTGCACCCATCAGTGCTTAATCAATGCCACATATCAGTGCATACCAGTGCACATCAATGCCACATATCAGTGCCCATCTGAGCTGCCTTTCAATGTCACCCATCAGTGCCAGTCAGTGCCACCTAGCAATGCCAATCAGTGCCACCTATCAGTGCTGCCAATCAGTGCCACCTATCAGTGCTAGTCAGTGTCACCTATCAGAGTGCAGTGTGCATCAGTGCCAGTCAGTGCCGCTTAACAGTGCCAGTCAGTGCCGCCTATCAGTGCCAGTCAGTGCCGCCTATCAGTGCCATATATCAGTGTCATGTATCAGTGCTGCCTTTCAGTGCCCATCAGTGATGCCTGTCAATGCCCATCAGTGCAACCTACCAGTGCCTCCTCATCAGTGCCACCTATCAGTGCCTATCAGTGCAGCCTATCAGTGCCCATCACTGCAGCCTCATTAGCGCACATCAGTGAAGGAGAATAATCACTTATTTACAAAATTGTTTAACAAAATGTTCAGTGATTTTTGGTTTGTCTAAGAAGAAAAAAAATCCCAGAGGTGATTAAATACCACCAAAAGAAAGCTCTATCTGTCTAAAAAAAAAATGATAAAAATTTCATATGGGTACAGTGTTGCATGTCCGCATTGTCAATTGTCATTCAAAGTGTGACAGCACTGAAAGCTGGAAATTGGCCTGGGCAGGAAGGGAGTATAAGTGCCCTGTAGGCTAGTGGTTAAGTTACCCTTAAATCTACCATAGATATTAACTGACAATCACCTAACCTGGTTGCTTTTGGCTGAAATGGAGTACAATCTCATGTCATGCCTCAGGTGACCATATCACAACAATGCCTGAAAGGAAAAATTTGATCAGGCATGCAATAGCATATCTATCACCCAAAAAGGATCATTTTTAACACTGCTTCCTAAATAATACCTAGGAAATTAAGCATCATACATGCTAAGGGTGGGAGTCGGACTGGGACTATAGTTCTACTGTTGGATAGACAACAATCCATCTGTCAATTGAACACTGATGCCACTATGCATGACACTGGTGACTGTATTGGGGCACCCTCTAAATAGTGGTACCTTGAGCCCCCCCCCCCATCCCCCAGGTATGTCCCTCAGGTTAGAAAACCTGATTTAAAAAATTGCTATTGTTCATCCCACTCATAACCCAGGATTAGGCCTCAGTCCCGCTCTACCCCCTCCCCTCTCATAATGCAGTGCTGCAAGCTTGACTGTAATGGTTTTTTATTGATGACAGTCAGCTCTTGCTTACACATTCAACCATCCTCCTAAATTTATGGAAGCTTTAGATTTGTATTGTTAGCAGGAACAGCAACCACTGAGTAGCACTCTCAGCAGGAAGCAAAGCCTGTGTATGTAATGAGCAATTTCCCCACATACATACTGTATATATAGAAACAAAGTCTTTCATTTTACATATCATAGCTATTATAGTTCTTTCACTAAATATAAATTATCTAAATATAATTGAAATCTATAAAAAATACAGACATTTTAAAATATTAGCTGACAGATGGAATTGATAGGCTTAATAGGCTGCCGCTAACATCATCTCCCAATCTACACCTCAGTATTTGATTTCAAGCAACTGATATCTGTGTGGACATGTGTAGGTATGGGGCCTGCATTTAAACACAGAAATTCAATCAATATCTCGACTCTCAACAGAGTTTACTATATTAGATCAGTTAGAAGTGACCATCTGGCCTAATCTCTGGAGTTTCCAGGTATCATGTAGATCTTTTTTTCACTAATGTCATTTTTATTTGTTTAACATTAATGGACTGTAGAAAACATTGCTATATAAAATAACTCAATTTGATTTCATAGAAGTCAAGCATCTGTTTCTCTAGGGTCAGTTTACAGTGTTGGGAATAGAACAACACATTTTATTGCAAATCACAGAATTTATATAGGGTTATGAAACGCAGTAACTATGTCAAAGTGGTTTGGGGGAATAAAATTAAACATTTTTATATTTTGCCTTTAATCTCTTTTTAAAAGTGAACACAGTAATTAGATTAAGTATTTCATGATGTTAGCTGCCCTTTATTTCAACACATATCAAACTGAGAATCTGTTAACGGATGAAACCCTGCATACAGATAAATGGATAGACTTACTTTTTCCCTTAAAGAACTGATCTGTTTTAGCCATAAGTCAGGCATGGCTTAAAGTGGAAATACACTGTATCTGAGCACCAAAAACCAAACACACTATTTAATTAATGTTTACTATTCAAAGCAAACACACCCATCCATCCCTGTCTCCATGCTTTATTTTGCTGAGAAATCACTTAGAAAACACCCCCTAGCATTTCTGGACCTGGCTATCTTGAATAATGGCAGATAATTCATGCAGCAAATACTTCCTGCAATCCATTTGCTCTTATCTCATGGGGGTAGGAAGGTGTGCTAACCTGGGAAAACCCCTCCCCTCATGAAGAATTCTGGGATGTATGACATCATTTGCCTAGGCATGGAAACTAGAAAGTAACTAAGGAAATGTAAAAAAAGCTGTTTTTAACAGGGAAATATGATATACTTTCCTTTCCTTTCTTTCTCTCTACTGAGAGAAGCTTTCCTTTTTTTCTATGAAGGTTTTGTCTCCCTGATAAATCTTCTATCAATATTCCTGGCCACAACATAACCACATACAGATGATGCTTGAGAGTTCACCTTAGTGCATAGTGCATTTCATTGAGTTAGTCACAGGGTGATATACAGGTCCAGGACAGCCAGGGAAAGATCCCTGTTCCTGAACACCCCTTTGTGGTATATGCTCATCATATAGGGCAAAACAGGATGAGATCCATTTTTACTTTTGCCTGCATTGAAGACTGAATGTGCCAGTGATAAATTTAAGCCAGAAGCCCTTTAAAACATTCCTTGCTGATGGTCATGGTTTGGGAGAGCTTGTTCAATCTGAAGCTGATGCCATTTGATGCTTAGCTTTGGGACTGTTTGGCGCTACTGTACCTGCATGGACTCTCTCCAGGTGCTTTATTGTGCCTTTGCAGCAAAGAGGGCAGCCTGCATAACCTTACACTAGGTCTAGATACTGAGACTGCATTTGCTGCCTCTTACTATTTTCTGACATGGCAACAGCTCCCAGACCCCAATACTTGACACAGCACAGTGACCCTGCTGATCTTACTGGGTTCTCAGCAATTTCAAGTGCTTGACACAGAAGGCCTTCCCCTCCCTTGCCACAGCAGCAGAGGTCATGAATACCTCTATGAACACAATTTTTTACTCTACAAGGCAGACCACAAATGCAAGGGAAAGGGGTCAGATGGCCTTACTAGCTCAAACTCAACACATAGTTCTAAAGGAGTTGGTAGTTTATTTCCACAAGATTCTCCAACCCCATGTTGAGATGGTTGCCCCCAGTTTATCTCCTTATTTTTAACTGGGCACTCCACTGGCCCTTGGCTACACAACCTTCTTTCTATTTATCAAGAAAGGAATTTCCTGCCAGAATGTCTTATTTCATGTACGGAATGTCAGGCCTTTTAGAGGCTATCACAAGGGGGTCACAAGTGAGCCCTCTCAGTCTCCCTTTCTGGGCTGGTTTTTTAATTTTCCTTTGAGATAGACACACTATCTAAGGAGAAGGTGCTAGATGAAGAGGATTCCCCACTCTAATTCTAATGAATCAGATCAGAATGAGACACCTAACACTTTATCCAAAATTAGCTGAACTCTAGGATACCTAAAAAACCTCCTTTGCAGTGGTGCAGTGCACACAATAGGTTAACTCGTTTATGTCTATGGGACTTGGTAAGGCATTTTTACTTATTTGATCCTCTGCTCCTGAAGGTTCTTCTGTGCTGCAAGACTGGCTACTGCAGCTCTTTTCTCCACTACACTCCAGTGTCTAACGTCCCCTGAGATGATCAAAACTGATGCAGGAACCTTAGTCCCACATCAGACAATTGGTTGTTGAGAAGCAGTCCACTGTTTCGGAGCATGTGGAGTTGCACTATCTGTCAGTGAAGTGGAGGATCATGTAAGTACAAATGATTTTCTGTCCCCTAGACATAAATAAGCAGTTAATCCTTGCAGTGTGGATGCCTACCTCTCCTGCAAGGCAGTTTTTAGTTTTCCTGGAGTTGGGCTTTAAGGATACCATTGTTACCCACTGCAATAAATGCAGCTGCTCCATGCTCAAGGGTTTGTGGATTATCTGAGAAATCTCTTGATCAGTTCACTCTATCCCAGTCAGCCAACATCCAGCAAACAGTGCACACTGCATATGCTTTGCATATTTTTTTGCAGGATCCTCAACCTGTGGAAGTCATTGCTGGAACAATCTCCAAGATTAGAATACCCATGCCTGACATTACACAGCCCTGTCCAGGGTATTCCTGCCACAGGATGCCCCATGCATCTGACTTCCAAGGCCAGACTTTCCGTGGTGTGGTGGATGTGCTGGAGTCAGGGAAGCCCTTTCCTTCAAATTAGTGGAAAGCTGTTATGATGGACGCCAGCCTTACCAGCTGGGGAGCTGTCCTGAATGCTCTTTTAGTACAGGGGACTTTGTCTTTTTGTTGGAAGCCAGTCTTTTCATTGACATCCTAGAAGTTAGTGCAATTCAGTTGCACCTTCAATGCTGGAACCTTAATTGTGAGGGTCCCTGATGAGAATCAAGTCTATGATACCATCGGATCAGTTAAACCAGGTCTATTCCTTTTTGCCCCTCTAGATTCTCCATTGCCTGATTCATTGGATTGAGATAGAGGGCATTCTGGTGATTCTCATTGAACCAAACTAGCCCAGAAGAACATAGTATTTGAACATATTTAGGCTCCTGGCAGACTCTCCATGAACATTTCTGAATCACTGGGAGCCTCTGACCCAAGAGTCAGTACACCATTCTACTTCTTAGTTAATGGCTTTGACATCATAGCTGTTGATGACCAGGTCCCAATGGGCTGGGGCTTATCAGATCTGGTCATCCCTACCATTTTGAAAGCTAGCATGTAAACTTATTAGAAAATCTACCATCACACATAGAAAGCTTAAGTCTTTCAGTCTAGGAGGGACTTCCTCCAATCTAGATCAGCATCTAGGTTTGAGTACTATCAAAGGGCAATTCCCAACATTTGCTGTTCTGTTTTGCAGACTGTTGCC